GAGGAACAATCACCAAAATTACTTGAAATACTACGGTTTCCTTAGGTGGAGGTGAGAAGAATCGCTCTGAATGTCTGCAGGTCTGAGTCTCACGTCCAAAGGAAATTTCTGGTAATGCATCACCTTGGTTAACTGGGATGGTTACTGTCTTCTTTAGCAGGCATGTAGTTTTCAACCCTGGTTCATCAGTCTGGGTCTAGTCAGGGGCAAAAGCCATATCCATCATTTTAACAGAGCATTTAATAGGAAGAATTATTCATCAGGTATTGAACAAGTAAAACGGCAAAGAGTGGACACTGAGGAAATCACTACAGTAACTACAGGAGGCAACAACCACCCTTAGAAGGAAGAGCTGGGGATGACTGAGATGTAAAGGGTTGGAGGATGGCCGCAGAGAGCTGGGCTGCAGACGTCTGAGGGGGGCCCAGGCCAGCGGTGCTGCTGTCTCTGAGCAGGAATGTTGAGGCGGGTTCTGGGGGGGAGGAAAACCTGCAAACTGGAGGTAGCTACTGCCACTGGACCCAACTGTCAGTACAATGCTGACAGGACAGGAAGCAGAGACTCCACCAGCCTCCCAGGCTCCCTCTAGTGGCCCCCACTGGGAGAGCTAACAGGGACCCAGCTAACAATCGGATGTGTTATGTGCAGGATCCCAGCCCCAGAATCCCCAAATATAGAAAAGTCTCGAAGCTGAGACAATAGCTTAACAACCACCACACCAGGAAGACTGAGGCTTAAGTGGAGAAAGATTTAAAACAGAACTATAGCTCTAATATTTTTATGTTAGAAAGCAAACGGCATATTTGGTATTTTAGACACATGATATTTAAGAGAATAAGGTCCGTTAGAATGACAGTTTTATAATTCCACTTTAAAATGTATAATTGAGTAATTAATTTAGACTTGCGATTTTTTAATGGTGATATCTAAGTTTAAGTAGAGTATGAAAACATTTAAAGTTTCCCTTATTTATAAGTTTAATGTATTAGTTCCTATAAGAACTTAGGATTGGGGGACATTTTGCATGCTGTCATAAAAACTGAAGTACTTTGAAAAGAAATTAATATATTAAATTTATAAATGCATTTAAAAGCGTTTCAAGTGCTGAGCTAAGCTTGTAAATAGGACCAAGCATTATGCAGAAGTCGCCTCCAAAGTTATTGCTACAATCTGCTAGACTTAGAATAACAAAATTCGTAGGATAATAAAATTAAAAGCCTGAAAAAGTTTAACTTGTATCTTGATTCTAATGACAAAATTATTAATTGTATTACTTATTAAATGATTACTAATTATTAAACTTATTAAAATAGTATTTTAAAGCCAAAATTAAACTCATTAATAAAAATATCCATTGAAATCTTTCCTACATAAGAAATCCACTTTCCTTGGTCCCCCTCCCCACTCTCTACTCTCAGGTTTTCTAGAAATAGCTAGAGAAGAGCAAGAGAGGCAGCTTTGTTTCTTTGCTTTTCTGGAAACCCTGAAACCGTCTCACCTTGCAGCAGGCAAAGGAGATTATGCCCCTGGCTTATCTGTTTTTCTTTCTCACTTTCTAAAGCTGGGATACCCCATGGAATAGATAGGGATGACCACTGGATTTGAGGTGAAAGAACCTGGGGTTGAGTCCCAGCTCCATTGCTTAAAGAACCCAAGCCTCAGTTTCCCCATCTGCAAAATGAGGGGACACCTGCCTTGCAAGGTTGCCACGTGGATCAGCACAGTGCGGGGCACACCAGGGTGGTGGCATTGGAACCTCCCCTGTGCTGGATCCTGAGGGCAGGGGGCTTAGGACAAGGAGGTTCTTGCCTGAGCACAGGGGCCTAGGCCGCTCCCTCTTACTTTGTGGCAGGAGGGTTTCTTCAAGGAGATGGCCCTGCGACAAACAAGGGCTTTCTCTCTCCCTCAGGCACAAGGTCCAGGCTCTGAAGGAATTTCTCACCACAGACAGAAAGGGGAAAGGCCAAGAAAGAGGTGGCTGGCTCAGCAGCAAGGTAGCAGCCCTGTGGACAGGGGTAGCTGTCCACAGGGCCACGGCAGCCACTGGCTGCAGCAGGAGGGGGCAGGGATACAGGGACGGACTCAGACCTGCCTCCAACCCCTGCCTTGCTCACAGGGTCACCTGGCCACGCAGCCTCAGTTGGAACATCCCTAGAGAGCATCATGGGGAAGGTCCCCACGGAGGAAGAAAGGAAGGGGGATGAAGGTGCTTTCCATAAATACCTGGGAGGGAGGGGGTCAGATCAGAATTATCACCACCCCATTAATTCATTCAATGCACAAGACTTGGATCCCTCTCTGTATTGCTAGGCTCCAGGCATGCAAACAGAAATCCTACACATCCTCACCTTCCTAGGACAGTACCTGAGAGTGTGTAGAGGCTTCTACCTGGATGAGGGAGAAGGACCAGCAGAGGCAAGGCGGAGGGTGTGGAGGTGGAAGGCAGCTTCCTGGGATAACGGACAGTCAGGGAGCAATGAAGGAGGCGGGAAAGGCAGCTGGGGATCAGCTTGGAAAGGCAAGTTCAGGTGTGTGGATTTTATTGGAAGCCAGGGAGAAGTTTTAAGCAGGGATTGCATTTTAGAAAGATCAGCTGGGGCGTGTCCATAGGGTGAAATGGAACCTGGAGACCAATTCAGGGAGTACCAAGTCATACAAGTGCATTCGAGGGATGATGTGGGCCTGACAGGCATATGAGATGGGAAATAAGATTTGAGTGAAGAACTCCAGCATCATGGTCACCATGGGAGTCTGGGCCAGTGGGTAGAAATCAGGCTTAAAGGCCCCTGGGCTAGGTGGGCCAGTCTCCCTGGAGACCAGCACTCACCCGCTTGACACCGCCTCATCTTCTCGGGGTCCCCAGCATACCAGGTGGCTGGCCTTTCTCCCACTGAGACATCAGCAGAGGGGGCAGGAGAGGCCTTGCCCATAGAAATCTTGAGATAAAGATTATCCAGGTGGGCCCAATGGAATCACAAGTTTCTTTAAAAGTGGAAGAAGGAGGCAGAACGGAGGCTGGCATGAGGGATTCAACCCACTGTTGCTGGTGTTGAAGATGAAGAGGCCATGGGTGGCCTCTAGAAGCAGGCAAAGGTGAGGAAATGGATTCTCCCTCAGAGTCTCCAGAAAGGAACTCAGCCCTGCCAACACCTTGACTTCTAGCCCAGGGAGATCCAGGTCAGACTTCAGCCTACAGAACTGTGAGATTAGAAGTGTTCGCTGATTTAAGCCACTTATTCGTGGTAATTTATTATGGCAGCGAGCGGAAACAAAAGCAGGTTGTAAAGCCGGCTGCAACTTTAGAGACATCTTCTCTAGCCACCTGACCTAGGGTCACCTTCGCATCACCCTCTAGTCACTGCATTTTGCCATTCTATGTCATCCAGTGTTGTTCATTTTTTGAAATGCCTGTGTTGACCCGATTGCCAGCCTTCCCGCATTCAATGGTAAGCTCCAAGAGAGCAGGCACGCAGCTTATCCATCCATCACTGCATCCCCAGCACACACAAGTGCCTACAAAGCAGTGGCAGTTCCACAAATCCTTGGCCGGAAGATGAGTGGCTGGCTGAGTGAACACAGGCAGTGCCCCAATGGCATGAAATCTACCGAGGCAGAATGCTCAGGGTTCATAGTTCACACTTCCAGCCTCTGAAGACACAATAAAAAGTGTGAACGCTCTCCTTGACCTCCTCCAGGATCTTCAGTCAGTTCAGGTCACACCTCTCTGAAGCCTGTTACAGAGCCTTCAGGGGTCTCAAGCCAACACTGCTGCAGCCCTCCCAGGAAAATACTGGATTGGCCAAAAAGTTCGATCGGGTTTTCCATCGGCTCGTATGGAAAAACCTGAATGAACTTTTTGGCTAGCCCAATATATGTGGAGAGCAAAATATTATAAATTGCCTCTGCGGGATATATGTATATGTATAACTGATTCTCTTTGCTGTACACCTGAAACTAACACAACACTGTAAATCAACTGTACTCCAATAAAAATTAAAAAAATAAATAAATAGCCTCTGCCCAGCAGAACCGAAGGGGCATATATGAGGAGATGGTTTACAAGTAAATACGGTAAGTGCCCCCTCCAGGTCAAACACTCAGGAAAGAGACCAAGCTGGCTTCAGAAGAGGCCTTGCCTTCTCCGACTTTGTTCGGTGTTTTCCAAGCTCCTTTGCAGACAGGCTGTTCCTCCAGGAAATGACTTGCCAATCCAGACAAGGATGGCAAGCCAAGCCCAGGGGAGACTGGCTGAGGTCAGGCTGCTGCCTAACCCTGGGGTGGGGGCAACAGGAAACGGAACATGGCGCCAGGGAAGGCAGGCTCCTCACACAGGGAGTGTGAGGACAGGAGGCAGAAAAGATCTAACGGATGCTCTGTGCTTGCATATTCAATCAAGACACGCAGCCTGGGAACAGGGCGGCATGTACAAAATGACGTTTATTGAATCCATTTTGGAAACGGACAGCATGAAAGGTTTTTGGTTTCGAGCCCACTCGGAGTTTAAGAGTCATGATCATTTCCTGTCATTAAACCTCAGCCACCGGAAGATGCTAGCTTAAATAACAAAAACGAATCTTCATCTTGTGAAGGGGAGAAAAAGTGGTTAAAAACACTACGGTTGGACTTCCCTGGTGGCGCAGTGGTTAAGAATCCGCCTGCCGATGCAGGGGACACGGGTTCAAGCCCTGGTCCAGGAAGATCCCACATGCCGCGCAGCAACTAAGCCCGTGCGCCACAGCTACTGAGCCCGCGTGCCACAACTGTTGAAACCGGCGCACCTAGAGCCCGTGCTCCACAACAAGAGAAGCCACCGCAATAAGAAGCCCGCACATCACAACGAAGAGTAGCCCTGGCTCGCCAAAACTAGAGAAAGCCTGCACGCAGCAACAAAGGTCCAATGCAGCCAAAAATAATAATAAAATTAAAACAAAAAAACAACACTACGGTTGTCACTCTTGCAATAGCTCTGATGGCTAGAATGCTCATAGACATCAGCACAATTTTTATATGTACAGTGTGAAATACTGTACAAATATCAGGTGTGTACATCAAAGGTAAAGTTGTAAACTGGCTAACATTCATTAGCAATTAAGTACACTGGGTCTGTACTGACACTCCCATTCTCAGCCTAAGAGCTTACATATTTAACTGATGACTGATGTCCCCATCAGGGGCATTTAGTGTGTGGAAAAAGCATTTACAGACATATATATCATTCAGGTTGTAAACTAAAAAAGCAAACCCAAGCATGATTAATTACTTTGCCTGGATCAATAAATACTAGTCCCAAGTGCTAAGTGTACCAATAAGGACAGAAGCCATCAGTTAAATAAATCATCATGTTGTTACCTACTGATACCTGTTAGTGAATTTGTGGACTTTATCCAACGCATACACAGATTATTTTTTGTTTGAAATTCTCAGAAGATCTCCTTTGGACATTTCTCTTCCATCAATCTCTTAAAAGGCTGAAAACGAAACAACTTTTTAAACAAAATTTCCAAATCAAAAGCCATCAAAAGCATGCCTCTGGTCATATTTCAAATCTTCACCCAGAAGGGAAATGCTGTCAAGGCTTAGATGAGCTTAGAAGCTTTCCTCCTCTGTTGGCAGCTTAAACTGTCCTCATTCTCTCCCGGCCACCTCCTGCCATATTGGAAGCCAAACTGGCTCATGTCTCTGACATTTCATAAACAAAGTTTCCAAAGATTAACAGGATACCTAGAAGGTGCCAGAAGGGCCCAGGGGCCTTCTCTTTTTTCTGGAGCTGTTATCAGCGGGGCCAACAGGCAAATACAAAAAGAACAGGGAGGTCAACGGAGATAAAAAGCCCAGACCTGGATGGAGGGAGGAGTGCTGAGGATATATATAGCACAGTACCAAAGCCCGCTGCCCCCAAAAACATGTCAAGGCCCCACAGGTTATACATTCCAGGCACTTCTTTAATCACAGGGAATGGACATCTCTCCAAAAGGTCCTGCCCACATCTTTCCCAGCTCCCTGCACTGTAGAGCGCTGAGACATCCCATTTGCTAGAACTCTCAGCTCATGAGACAAGCTGAGTCTCTCTATCTCAATGCAACTTTTCCTATAAACCACAACACTCACAAACACAGGCCACACTGGATTCAAGTCCAGCTGCTTCCAGACCTCTGCGGCCTCTAAGCCCTGCCCACCACGGATCACTTTCACCCTGGACCACTTCCAGTCTCCTTTCTTAGGGGGCTTGCTGTTTTTCAGTTTGAAGACACACCCCATTGGAAATGAGCGGTACAAGATCCTACGTGCAAATACTTGCAAGCAATTTATTTTTGAAACGATGCACATTTAAAAAATTCAAGTCAAATCCAGGAACAGACTGGTTGGTTGGTATCAGCTGGCCCCAACCCCACAATAGGAAAAGGGTCAGTTTCTGAAATGAGAAAGGGAGGGAGGCACCAGCTACTCCACCGGGAAGGTTAGTTCCTTGAGTCGGGGAGGAAGCCTGAGAGGGGAATGCTGAGGCTTAATCAAAGACGGGGTTCCTCCAGCACTGTGGCCCTCCTGGGCCAAAAGCCAAGGGCAGCACATAGGGTCTGGATATAGGTGAGGACAGACCCTCACCCACCGGTGGGGCCACTCTTTCCCAGTAATTCTGAAACTGAAATGAAAGCTGCATTCCCAGAGTCAGGCTTGGGAGGGGCTGCAGTCTACTTTTACTCCACACAAGACGGAGAGAAGAGGTACCTCTCTATTGCCTCTTTTCACCCATCGGCCTCTGTATCACAAGGACCCTCAAGGGGAACTCCACACGCCAACACATCCTTGCTGGCTGTGTGTGTGGGTCGGACGACTTCCTGCTATAGGAACGCCAGGGGCACTGCAATATAGGGCTGGGAGGATCAGATAGTCCAATATCTGAGGGGAAAAGCCCAGAGAGGAGGATTTGAGTTGAGTCAGGCAGGCAAGGCTGAAAGTCAGAAGGTGAACATTAGGCAGTTGGATCTGTGTGGCCGCCAAGAGGTAGGTGGTCACAGTCATGAAAATGGAAAGGCTCACGACGGGGATTTTCCCAAGGGTGCTCACACTAGCCTGTACCTGGAAAGGCATAAGGCAGCATTGCCCAAAGGAAGAGCTCCCCTCGGCGGTCCTCGCGGATGAAGCCGCCCTCATCCTGGTGGCCAGGCAGGAGCTGGGAGGTCCCAGAGGCGGGCATTCAGCTGAGGGATGAACAGTTCAGCTCTGAGTCCTCCTGGCTGCCCGCTGCCACCTGCTCCGGCTCATCAGGGCCATCAGTGATGTTGGGCTCACTGGAGCACTGCCGGTGGGGCGGCGGGAAGCTGGGTGGCAGAAGCAGGCACTTGTCCTCGCCGCCAGGCTCCTCCCCTAAGCCCGAGTGCATCCTGGTGGCCATGGCCAGCAGCTGGATGTCCGAGTGGGCATTGGCCACCGTGTGTCGCCGGACACTGCCACACTTCTCTAGGTAGGCCTCGCCCTCTTGCTCCGTCAGAGGGGTCAGGGCCATCTCGTTCAGGGGCCGGCTGACGGCAGTCATCGGGGAGGCGTAGCTCAAGAGCGTGACCTTGGGCCGGGCCCTGGAGTGGCGCCTGGCTGCAAGAGAAAGACCAGCAAAGGTTGTGATTGCAGAGGGGTTAGTGGGAGTCAAAAACTCCTAATGAATTTGGGGGACGAGGGAGGCGGGGGCCCCACCTTCAGAGAGAGCTTTAGATGAAGCCCTAAAACGTAAGGGAAGAACTTGGCTATGTTTAAAGGCTTCTGTTGTATCTTTACTTGTTTATGCCTGATATGCCCCCCAAAGTAGGGGTCACCAAAGGACTTTCCATGGTTGATTAGGTCCAAGGGAGTCTCCCCCCGCTTTCCCCGCTGCTGCCCGAGCTTCATGGGATTTGCCCTCAATTCCCTTTCAACCAGTCTCCTCTGAAGACCCGGGCACTGGCTGGACCAGCTGCCAAAAGAGGCCCTCGGCTCTATTCAGCATGATGTGCTCTCTGCAGTGTCAACAGAGGAAGTGGAAAAGGCCTCATAAGCTTAGGTCTGGAGGAACAGGTTACTGGGGGGAGCTCAGCTATCAAAGCGAGGGCAGTGGGACGTCCTCCAGATCGTCCTGAAGCTGGACTATCGACGCTCCCAGCAGGTCAGTGGTCTGAGACCCGTGTTCTGTTCAAGTCAATACTCTGGAGTCAACCAGCCTTTCACAGCACCAAAGAATGGATGACGCTCTGTGGCTGGCCCCACTGAGGAAGACAGAGAGAAGGCTGGACAGGAATTATTATAAAACTGCTGCTTCTTGAATTCTCACCACACTCTAGAAAATATGCTCAACCTCCACATGCTTTTGTCTTTTGAATCCGCCTTAAACTGAACCTAAGTTATGATCATTTTCTCATCTGTAAAGTGGGAGACAATATGAATATCAGAGAGGTGGTAACAAGCCTACGCTCACACGGAGAGAACGTGGTAAAGCTGGGAGGCAAACAAGGTCTGTCTCACTCCAGACCTCACTCTTGCAAGCTGCCCACACAACGTACACATAGTGAGACTGAGCATCTCGTGGGAAGGACAAGCCAAGTACATGGGGTTCAAATCCAGGGAGAAGACTCCACAGGAGGAAGCACGTGTACCAGCAACACCCAGTTCCGAGGGCCTCTCATCTCCCGCCTTCACAAGGACCAGGCCAGTCCAGAGACCTACAGTGTGGCCGGAGTAGGGACCAGGGTAAGCCTGCATCCCCAAGGTCCCAGGGAAGCCTCCTCTGCAGGCACTGTCCTCTTCTCCTGCTCAGGCACTGTGTCTGCATCACGAACTGGATGAAAGACCCCAGCGAGGCAGAGGAGTTGAGGATGGAGGGCTGAGGAACGGCGGGTTCTGTTCAAAGCCTTTTCTCCTTTGCTTTGGCCCTCTTCCTGCCAGTGCACACGTCTCCCAGCCTTCCAACCGCCCACCTCGTTGCGTGTGTCACTGCTTTCCCCAGCTCCGTCATCCCTGAGACCTCAAAGACCACTAACACATCCCTCTCTCAGCAGGGGATGCCGTGGGGAGAAATAAAGAAGGGTTGACTGCACTGGTACTCCCAGCACCCTGACAGGATCACAGAGGGGGAGGGGGAAAACTCGTCTCTAAAGGGAGAGCAGACAGCGCTCACTGGTCACACGCTGGCCTTGGGGACACTCGGCCCATGCTGCTCTAGCTGAGTGTCAGCTCTTCCCATGGATCTGGAGGCCCTGATACGTGCTCTCAGCATGTGCTCCTAGATGGGCATTGCAGTGAGGCGGCCATGTCCCTCTGCAAAGCTCTCAGCAGTTCCCAGCACTGGACGATTTTCCATGTCCATATATGCACATATGTATTTACGTATATGTGCATATGCATATACATACATGTGTCTATATGTATACATATACACATATACATATATATATATATATACACATATACACACGCACATAGGTATAAACAATGACAAAAGAATGAAATGCTAACCCTTAGGACTAAGTTCACCAAGACTACTGGCTCAGAGCCCCAGGGGAGCTGTTTGGTGCTAATAGCAATAACTGATATTTCTCAAAACCAAACAATAATACATAGAATTTAGAGCTTACTGAGAGTGTTCCCATCTGCCGTCTCACTGTTGAATCCCAATCTCCGTCTGAAACACTAGGACGGCTCTCATCATCCCCATTGCTCGGAGGAGGAAGACTGAGACTTGGCCCAGCCCTCTGAGGCTCTAAATGGCGGTGCCCAGACGCCCCCCACTACACGCTACTGCCTCTCAGGGCTCTGCCGCTGCGCTTGAGCCGGCCCACCCTCTGAATTCAGGTAACAGCAAACACGGCCTCCAGTAGTGCCAGACAGAGGCTGCGTCATCAGCCCCTTCTCTGGGGAAGAACGAATAGGAGACAGAATGCCAAGGAGCCACCAGGACAGAAGAATCGATGCCAGACGTCGGCAGAGGTCCTCTCAAGCATGGGCGCTTGTACGTGCCAAGCCGCACATTTCTATAATGTTCCCACGTTTTTACAATAACCATGTATTACTTTTATGATCACAGAAATCGGTAACTGTAAAGCAGGAGCACCGGAAGAGTTCAGAGAAGCAGGGACCTCATTAAAGAACCATCCATTACAAAATGCCCTTGAAAACAATTCATTTCTCTCCTGCTGCTCTTAAAAGCAAGCACACTCTAGGTTGGCGTGGCAAGACCCAGGTTGTGGCCCTACAACCAGCCTGGCAGGAGACTGGGCTGGACTGTTCGGTGAGCATTTACTACATGCAGATCCAGGAAGAGGAAAGAGGTAGGACAGAGCCCAGGCCCAGGACATGGGATGAGGTGAGGGCCTGGGGGACAGATGTGCATGGTGGACACACACAGAAGCTCTGGGGGAAAGAATTCGTTTGATGATTTCCATAGTAGAACGAGCTAGCAAGGTGTCTCAGATGGGGGCTTGGGCATTGTCCGTCTCTCACACCGTTAGTTCAGCACCCCAAAGGCCCTGGAGGGTTCAACAGGCAGCAAACTGACAAGACAGGCCACTTGGGCTGCTGCGGAGAGATGGAGCCAGAGGGAGGGCGGCCAGCCTGGAGGAAGGGGTCCCCATGACATCTGCCCCCTCTTTCAGCAAACACATCTTGAACTTTGTGCAAGATGCTGTGCGCACTGCTGAGAGCAAGAGAAATGTAAATCTGATATGGGGCCTGCACAGGGCCTGGAGCGCAGGGGGTACGTGCGTTGGAGAGGGGTAGAGTCTCAGGCGCAATCGTTAACTGAGCCTCTACTCTGCACTGTATCAAAAAAGGAGAAGCTTCACTGACATGATCTCCTGCTAACTATTTTGCAGAAAAGGAACCTGAGGTTGAGATGCTATATCATTTTACAGTCACGATTAGTGATGAAACCGGGATTCAAACCCAAGGCTGACAGCACAGCCCTTGCTCCTGACCTCTGGGAGGCCTGCACACAAATCAGTGTCAAATGGCAGGGCAGGGCTACAGACAGAGCACTCTAGGGATTCAGAGGAGGAGTCGTGAAGAGGGGTCGTTAGAGATGGGCCTGCTCCTTTGAGAGGGATGGACAGCCTGCACCCCAGCTGGTGGTTCATTTATCCCCTCCCTCGGAGGAGAGGTCTATGCCAGGCCTGGGATACAGGTGAGCCACATGCAATGAGCTCCCGGTCTAAGGGGGAGAACAAATAATCAGGCCATGACCACACACCATGGTAAGGGCCAGAATGTGGTTTGGGGTCCAGAGAAGGGAAGGGCAGGCACATACAACTCCTCACCTGGGGTGATTCCACAAGCCCCAGGCCATTCTATCTGGGGCCCATAATACAGCAGGTGGCAGCTCTGCCTGGGCCCTGCCCTGAGACAGGGAGTCTCCTTCCTCCTCTGTGCTCGGCCCTCTGCAGCTCAGAGACGTTAAGTAACTTACTCCAGGGCACACAGCTGAAGCCCAGCCCTTGTGGTTTCCAGGGCCCCGCTCCTGCGGCTGGCCTCACCTCTCTCCTTAGGGCTGTTGCCTGACGCTGACTGAGAGGCCTCCAGCTCTTCCTCCTGCATTCTGGGTGGAATGCGTTGGCTCCCAAGACTGGGTGTGGGCACAGCCGAGACCACAGGGGCCGCTGGGCTGTGTGAGTCCCCTGGGCAGACAGTGTGTCCTTACGAAGCTCCCACTGGATTCCAGAGCCAACCCCAGGACAAGTATACGCCAAGCTGTGTCCCGGCGAGGTCAGACCCCGCTAGGGCCCCCTGGGAGGCCTTAAAACTGAAGAGCAGGCCTGGAGCTGACAGTGGCCTCCCCACACCGTGACTGCTTGCTCTCTTTTCCCTCTTTTTCTCATCTGTATCAGGGAAAGCTGGGCCCTGCCACTCAGAGAAGGAAATTTCCATTAAGGGACTGACTAAGCTGTGGACCTCCCCTGGGGCCTAAAAACTGGTCCCTCCCCTGCAAGGGGGCCCTTGGAGCAGGGAGAGGGGCTGGGCCCTGCCACCTCCTGTACCCACTTCCAGGCCTCCTCCCGCCTGTCACATGGGGTATGGCGAGGGGAGCCTTTGTTCCCCCCTCACTCCCCAGGCGCCCCGCTGAGCCCTGGCATTCATCCCTCTGCTCTGGAGCCAGACGTGGCAGCTCCTTTCAACTCCCCAGAGAGAAGCAAAGCCTGGAGGAGGCGGTCCTTTCTTGGGGACTCAGTTCCCAGGCCTTTGATCTCCCAGGCTCGCCGGCCGGGCCCCACTGGAGTGGCCCCCATAAGGCAGGCATTGTGATCCCTGCCCACCACGTCCACGGTGGGCGTCCCTCTTCAGGCCCCGGCACCTGAAAGCCCATGAATGCCTACTGGGCACGAGGACGAGTTACAGTATGTTGAGGAAAAGGGCCCTCCCCCGAGGGAGGACACAATGGGGATACATGGGTGGGAGGCCAGGCTTCCATGTGGGAGACACTGCGCACTACCCAGGCCAGGGCAGCGGCCTGCAAACTTGGGAAACCAGAAAGGTAGAAACATGGGCCTGACCTCTGACAAAGCAGCCTGGATTTTTTTGTTTTCTTGGGTTTTTTTAAGATTTCATTATCTTCCTCCTCTTCCCCACACTCCGTCTGCCCGAGAAAAGTGACAGCTTCGGCAGGGAGGACACACACACACACACACAAACACACTCTCACTCCATCACGGCCTTGGACTCATCTTTTCTCTCTGAAGCGAGCCTTGCGCATCTGCAGGGTGAGGCTTAACTCTCAGACCCATCGGCCTGGCCAGTAGGAAGAGGGCCTGCCCTTGAGTCCCCAGATCAACCCGTGTGGGCACGTGGGTGCAGTGGGGAGCCCCCTGGAAAACCACTTCTCTGGCTCTGGTCACCTACCCCATGTGACCCGGGGGGCGTTTCTTACCAACGCTGAGTCTGAGGTCATGACAGCAGGCACCCTCGCAGCGGGCATGCCAAGCCCTTGCTCAGGGCCTGGAAGGTGACGAGCATTTGATAAGGGGTGGCTTTGGAGATGACGGTCCCAGCTGCCCTTGACCCCTCCCACCGAGTCAGGCCCAGAGCGGCCGTGGCAAAGCCCTCCCGAGGGTCCAGGGATCTCTCATGTCCGCTCCATCTCCTCAGTCTTTACCTCGGCCGGCCGTCATAACAGGCAGCTGCCTTTTCCACAGGCAGGAGAAATATCATTGCCTCCAACCGACTGAGGGGAAGACTGAGGCCCAGAGACTCCTCTCTTTATCTAGAAAGGGGTGTCCTCGATAAGGAAGGGCACCTTCGTGGCCGTGTTAGCTTTTTGGTATCCAGTGGTTTGGGATGACATGTCGGTCTCGGACACCTCTTGGGCTAAGGAGTGTGTGGACAAAGAATGTCGGCTGCCGTGTCAGTAAACAAAGGAGTTGTGGCCATCAAGCCCTCAGCCACAGAAGCTGCCCCCTGAGGGGATTCAGGATGGAGAAGAGCAGGATACTGGCCCTAGAGAGTTAAGGTGGGTATCAAAGGAATGATTTCAATGAGCCCAGACTCTTGCATCTTCCCATATGCAGAAAAGCGCAAAATTCACTGACTTGAGATGTCTATTTTTCTTTAACAGTATTCTCTCAATGTTCCGACTACCTGGTCTTTGTTGCAAAAACTTCTACATATCCTGGCTCCTCCCTTACCTCATTGGAACAGTCCCTCAGAGCTCTCTGAGAAGCTGTCTTCTGCACTTAAGTCCTCAGTGTGTCCGTCGAATAAAACATAATTCTCAACTTTCAGGTTGTATATTTTTTTCAGTCGACAACTGAGAGGGAAAGACCAGCTCCTCCGCTGTCCCTCAGTGAAATCAGTCACCTCCTAGGAGTTGACGGGGTGGGTGGGGTGCGGGTGGAGTGTGGGGAAAAGCTGGTAAAGGGCAAACAGCTCGGGGCTTTGGAAGCCTGTCTCCAATAGCCAAGCGACCTTGACCTTCATCCGCCTCCCCTGTGCGTGGGAAGGTGGTATCCAGCCCACCCGCACAGTGCCCAGGATGTGGTCTGTGTCCCGGGGCTTTCCCTGCCATCAGTCATGCTAAAACTCTAAGGCCCTCTCAGTTCCTTCAATGCTTCACCCTCCTGCTCCCCGCCCTCCTCCCCCCAACTCCAAAACCCTCCCAAAGATCCTTCCCTTTGCCCGGGACAGTCTTCCTTTCCCGTTTACTCAGCTAACTTATATTCATCCTCCAGGTCCCACTGCAGATACCACTTCCTCCAGGGAGTCCTCCCTGATTTCCCAGTCCCGGTGAAGTCCTCCTGCCGTGGGCCCTTGACTTCCCCACTCAGAGCACTCGTACACTGATGAGTCATCGTCTATTGCTTGTGACTTCCTCACCAGACCCTGCATCCCAGAGGGCAGGGATGGGTCAGTTTTGTCACAGATAAACCTGCAGCACCTCACAAGGTGCCAGGGACAGGGTCTCAGTACACATTTGCTGAAACAATAATATAATAAAAAAATAATCAAAAGAAGGTCATTTCCTTCCCTCTCTGCCCCTACTGTGACAACGCCCCAGAGAAAAGGATTGTCCTTGGTATAAGAATAAAACCTCAGGCCTTTGGTTTATAATTTGATGAAAGTATGTTTTAGTCTTATTATAGCTGAAAAGTTGAAGGTATCCCTTCTTAGAGCAAGTCCTCACCAAACAAACTTCCAAATCTATTCTTGTTCCCAGCTCTAGGCCCAGAGGATGGTGGGGTCCGTGCCATGGCCTGGCTAACCCGCTGGCATCTTGACACCTGCCCCAAAAACTCAGGGGGCCAGTTGCTGGGCCAAAGCCGGAAGGTGGCGCCCAGGCCTCCTCACGGGAGGGCAGGGGACTGTTTTCCTTCAGCCGGGTGGAATGAGGGAGGGAGGCAGAGAAGGAGGGAGTGTGGAGGACCAGGCTCGGGCCAGCACCCTCGGATCTGTGGTGGCTGTGGTTACACTGGTGTCTCCAGAGAAGCATAAACGGGGCCTGAAAACTGTGGCCGGCCCTGCCTTTCTCTGCAGTCCTGAGGCCCAGGAAGGGGCGGGAAGCCTGCTGGAGGCTGCTCCTCCCCCCTTTTCTTTGAAGCTCAGCTAGGTCTCCATGCAAGCAAGAAGAGGGGGCAAAAGGTTCCAAATTTGGGGAATCCCTTTCCGCCTCTGCACCTGTCTGTGGGTGCTGGTCACCCCAGCCCCAGGTACAGACACCGCCCATCCGTCTAACAAATATAGTTTTTTGAGTGCCTACCGTGTGTCAGGCACCATCCTGGATGCTGGTGATAGAACCACAAACCCGAAGTTCATGCATTTGGGGGATTTTCATTTCAGAGGGGAACTGAGCCATATCTTTTATGATATTCTGTAGCTATTTTCCCATCTAGGCCGTGGTCTCCCTGAGAGAAGGAACAGACCCAAGTCATCTCTAGATTCGCCAGGGTGACTAGTACAGAGCCTGAATGCTAGCTTTACAGTCACTGAAAAAGGCCACAACGGGATCTGTCCCCCAGTCCAGGAGCCCCTGTCCTTGGTGTGAAGGCCCCGGTGGTAACTATAGAAATGTAGTGGGCAGCCAGCAGCTGTACCTCCAGCCACACACACAATGAGCTGGCTTCACATTCTGAGCTGCTTTCAAAGGGAAATTCATCACTGGTGGTTTTTCCACTCATGGGGGGATGGGGTGCAGTAAGGCTGTTTCTGGTATGAGATACAGGAAAATTAACATCGCAAACACCGAAAAAGATCAAAGCCACCGATCAAAGATGCGGATCAAACGAGCGCCGCCACGGAGGTACGGTAACAGTGCCTTGGGAGGAATTGCCAAGAGGGGAGGTTACCGAGACACAGGCCAGCGGGAAACATGAGCGATGGACATGCAGAGATTTGCACGACCCACATGGGAAGCAAAGGGCTTGGGGTATAATCGGGGCTCAGTAAAACACAGCTGGTATCATTGCCACGGAGGCTCCTGGCAGCTTGAGAGCCGTGCCCCTTACCCAGTGTGTACGTGGGGCCTGAGACGCTGCGGTCCTCGCTGATGCCGAGGAAAGGAGAAATGACCTGCTTCACCAGCTCCTCCAGCTGCAAATAACCCTCGCTTGGGCCTGTGGGCTCGTGGACACTCTGGAAATAAACACCCAAGAGAGACAAAGGTCAGTCAAAGTCCAACTGCCCTCCTACTATATTCAAGGCAGGCCGCATCCTTGTGGCTGAAAGGAAGGACAGCCAGGACTGAAGCCTCAGGCCCTTGTCATGGGGGGCGGTCATCGGCACCACGCACGGAGAGCACCGTGGCCTCTGCGGTTGGATTCCACCCCGATGCGGGGCCCGTGGGAACTGTCCCCACCCCAGCTCCAGGGCTGAGGTCTGAGCGGTTCCAACCGTAGCACTCTCACCCGCACTGTCACAATGACTGTTTCACACCTGGCACACAGGCGCTTTATATAAGCACTTCACGTGTATCAGAGCACAGAGGCCTCCCAACAGCCCTCATCATCTGCCTTATACACATGAGGAAAGTAAGACCCAGAAAGCTCATGTAACTTGCCCAGGGAGACACAGCTGGACAGCGGCAAAAACCTGGGACCGGAACACAAGCTGTCTGGCTCCAAGCCCGTCTTACTGCCCCTTGTTAATTAGCTCGAAAAGAAAGGGGAACAGAATTTGGAGAAGTCCAGAACAGTAGAAGAAAGGGGGTGTCACTGTGGAACTAGACACACATTTAGCACCACGATGAAGGATCAGTTCAAAAGCCCAGCGCGACAGGAGTCCTCAGAGCTGAAAGGAGCCAGAAGGTCACCAAGGTTTTCTAGAAAACCAGCAGACTCCAAGGGAATTCAGTTTCTCACTGGAAAGCCCTGGAAGCCAGGTGGTCATGCTGAGGGGCTGCAGGGGAGCAGAGACAAGGCTCTGCGGGGGCTTTGCTCAGCCCAAAGGGTGGTCCCATCGAATTCTCAACGCGGAATAGATTTTATGTCACCCTCACTTGAAAAGTGAAAACTCTCCACTGCACTGGAGTTTTGGAGGCTGGGCCATGAAGGGGGAAGGGCCAGTCCTACAGGCTGGAGATCGCTGGGTGAGGTGTAAGAAGCCCCCAAGGAAACTGGCTGACGTGGTCCCTCGTCAGCTCCATCACCGTGCGAAGGAGGTGAATGGGGGCGGTGGGAGGGAGGGGGAAGCTTAAGGAAACACAGAGGAGGCTGAGGAGGGGCTGTGATGCAGAAGACTTGGGAGTTAGGGCTGGGAAGGGCCTGGAAAAGAAATGAAGAGAAAATGCAAGTGGGGCTGCCTGGCGCTTGAAGTGGGTGATGATGGGGAGATGACCTGGTGGTTTTTCACGCCCCCAGGTTCCAATACTGCTTAGCAGGAGCTGAAGCATTGGGAAAGGCCAGCAGTGGAAATAAGATGCTTCACACACAAATCTGCCCAAATGGAAGGGGATCCTCCAGGCAACAGAAGGGCGTGGGGAGCCTCATTCATGCTCCCAGAGACCCACCCCCGGCCTCAAAAGTGGACCAGTTTCAGCCCCAAAACCACCTTGGTTGGGTTTCAGAGCTGAGGAAACTTTTTTTTCTCATTTTTTTAATGCCTTGATATTTCTCATCTAAGCCTCTCCCCCGCTACAATTCCTAAGCACTAAACAGAGAGGGATGGAGGAAAAGAGGAAGGAGGTGGGAAGAAAATGCTTAACTAACCAACGCATTGATCCGGAGCTGGATGGCTGAGAACTTGACTTGCACACAGCCCTCTAGGAGGGAGCTGCCCTCAGCCCTCGGCCTGGCCGCTGGACGGGCTACGTATCTGCAAGGCCCAGTGCAAGAGGAAAACGCGGGGTTCCTGGTTCAAAACTTGTTAAAGAGTTTCCCGATGGCGACAGGAGATAATTAAACCAAGCACGGGGCCCTGCTGAGACTGGGGGCCCTGGGGGCTGGCCCGGCAGGGAGCACTCCTGCTCGGCTTGGCAGGTCCCCTAGGAAGGGACCATTCTAGGATGGTCTCAGACCTGTCTGCCACTGCCAGGGGGAACCGGATCTCCACAGTGGTCAAAATCTCTGGCTCAGCCTCTTCCTGGACAGCCTAAGGACAGGAGTTCATGGCCCACAGGAGTTTGAACCCCTTGTATATTCTGGGGAGGGAGGGGTTTGTTCAGGGACATTTTGGAAGAGCACTGGGAAAGGGAGAGATGGCCTGAGAAATGGCTCTTTTCTCCATATGAGTTAGGCAGGGAAAAACCAGCCCCAGATCTCATGGCGCTGTGGGAAGTAGGGGCCCAGGGAGAGAGCAGAGCAATTCTAACTACTGGGGCCTAAATTTCCTGTAGCAGGAATGGTCCCAGGGTAGTACAACCTGCACGTTCCATTCAGATCCAGAAGCTGCCGCCCCTGCCACCCAAGGAGCTGGACCTGGACTGGGGAAAAACCTGCCTTTGTCACTGTCACACTCCCGCCTCCGGCTTCCTGGCTCCCAGAGTGTAGAAGAACGTGGACCAGGGAACGAGTCCCAGGAGGCCCTCGGGGAAATGAGGCCAAATGTCCTGTGTTAAAGAGACCACCTCAGAAGCTCATGGGGCGTCTCCAAGTACCCTGGGAGGCTGCGGGAGGGGAGGCAGCGGTAGCCGGGAGAGGCTAGGTGGGAAGGTAGAAAGAGCGAGAGCTGAGGAATGGGTGACAAATCCAGCTCTCTTACAAATCAGCACGTGACCTTGAGTTAGTTTGCCAACCTCTCTGAACCTCCATCTCATCTGTGAAATGGGAAAACAGAGACTGTTTCCTTGCCCGACTTCCCACAATATAAATGGAAATGGAAGTGTGGAAGCCCAACTTTCCTTTCCTAATCTTCCTCTCCGAATCCCAGAGGCCTCCTTTTCTAGACTCCTTCTTCAGGACCCAAGCCCTATTTTATGCTTCACAGACCTGAGCTGCGTACGCATGCTTTCCTATCCCCATTCCTTCTCCTTCCTTTTCATAAAAATACTTGACCTGGTATTCTAGCCAATGACACCCCCTCTTGTTCTGTTAGGTAACCCTTCCTCCTCTCTGACCTCAGGAAAGGGGGAGAAGGCCCAGAAGGATGGCCCAGCTAGAGAACCGGAAGAAAACAGCAGCTGGTGGGGAGGGAGATCAGGGGTTCCACACCTGACGTTCCACCCCTACTGAGACGGCAGCCAGGGAACCTCACCAGCCTGACCAAGAATGAAACTGTCTTCCCTGAGGACGGGCTCAGAGCTGAGGCTGCAGCATCTGAACTTGGTACAGAGGTCAGAGAGCCATAGCAGCCACATTTTTGGGGATGTCCTTAGGCCACAAGCCTTGTTTCTTGGAACTGTGCACCCCTATCCACAGAACCAGGCTCACGGAGGCCATTTATTCTATGTGATCCTATTCAAGGTCCTAGCCGATTGTGCAAAGGGGAGTCACGTAGCCCGAGCTGGGCCAATCGGTCTTTCCCCTGAGTGTACATGGTTCTAAATCTTACTACCTCGTGCTGCGGGACCTCAGGCGAACACATAAACTTCCTGGGTTTCGGTCTCCTCGTCTGTAAGATGGCACTAACAACAGTGTCCAGCTCATAAGGTATGGATTATCTGATTCAGAAAGCAACACGCTTTAAGTCCTTGGCCCATGCCTGGCAGATAGCCGGGAACCAACCAGGGTTAGCTCATCTTCCTATCGTTGATCTAGAATTGGGATTAAGAGATGCTGGCAGCCACCTGGGTCATCTCTTGGTGGAAACATGCAAGCCATGGGATGCCACGTTTGTCGGCGCAAACTGAAGCACTGACTGCAACTCTGCAGAGAGAGAGAGAGAGAGAGACCAACTCCAAGAAGGCCAGGAGAGGCAGGGTCAGAGAGAAGCCAGGTGGACCAGATACGAGTAGAGACCAGTAAGTGGAGAGAGGCTGGCAGCTTTGTGGCCTGACGTGGTCTCACTTGTGGCTGTAGCCCCTGAGGACCTTTCCTGTGGGTTCCTGGTCTGGCTTGAGCTGGGATGAAGTGGGTTCTGGTCGTAACTTACAACACGAGGCTCCCTGACATGACAGGATGGGGGAGAAGGGTGTCCACTCCCTGAAGGACGGGGCAGTGTTCCTCTGGCTTCCCCCGGGATCCCAGCACCCAGCACAGCACCAGGGACCTCGATGGTGCACAGTGGACACACAGCAAATGGAAAAATGAACTGGAACGTGACCGATGACACTAAAGGACACTAAACTGAGCCAGGGTGCTCTGGCCACAGGGCCCTTTCCCCCTCCACCTGCGGTGATGTCTCCACCCAGCCTCACCTGCAGGATGAGCAACATCTGGACGATGGACGAGGGCAGCTGGGGCTGGGCCAGCAGCAGCAAGTCATCCAGCTTCACCTTCAGCAGGACCAGGTCGCGGAAGCCCAGCAGGGAGATCTGGCGGATGGTCAGCTCCTGGCCCTGGCAGGAGAGAAGATGCAGCAGCGTCGGGAGGTGAGAGATGGCGGGATCTGCCACCAGCCACGTGGGGGCCAGCAAAACAAATGGATGGTCGGGGGGAACGAGGTGTCTGCAAGGCCCCGGGGGCTGTCAAACAGTCACAGACTTGGCCCCCGTCCTTCAGAACAAAAGCTTCATTTACGATAAGGTGTGATTCACTGATTCGAAAAGATCCATGCACCCCAATATTCATAGCAGCACTATTTACAATAGCCAAGATGTGAACACAACCTAAATGCCATAGGCAGATCGCTGGATAAAGAAGGTGTGGTGTGTGTATACAAACACACACACACACACACACACACACACACACACACACACGCACACACAAAGGAATACTACTCAGCCATAAAAAGGAATGAAATTTTGCCATTTGTAACAACATGGATGAAACTGAAGGGTATTAGGCTTAGTGAAATAAGTCAGACAGAGAAAGACAAATGTTGTACCTTATCACTTATATGTGGAATCTAAAAAATAAAACAAACTAATGAATATAACAAAACAGAAATGGACTCATAGATACAGAGAACAAAGTAGTGGTTACCAGTGGGGAAAGGGAAGAGGGCAGGGGTAACACAGGGGTAGGGGATGAAGAGGTACAAACTACTAGGTATAAAATAAATAAGATACAAGGATATATTGTACAGCACAGAGAATATAGCCAATATTTTATAATAACTTTAAATGGAGTATAATCTATAAAAACATGGAATCACTATGCTGTACAACATTGTAAACTAATATTGTAAATCAATTATACTTCAGATAAGGTGTGACTCAACCTGCCTAGATGACCCAAAGGTGATACAAGACACGTACAGTGGGGGCCATGGTGTGCTAGTGGTCAGAAAGGAGGAAGATGAGGAGAAACGAGACGGAAGGTCAACAGCGCCTCCCTACAGGCAAGGCTGCTTCCTCAGCTTCACCCATTCAATACCTGCTCACCTATCATGTGCCAGGCAAAGAAGGAAACACAGGACCTGTTAGACTCTTCTGCAAATGCAAGAAACACAGGAAGAAAAATCACGGGGAAAGTAGAAGAAAGGGACTTGTTCAACCATGTAGGCTGGGGGCAGAGGATGAAAACAGTAACTAATGATCATAAGAGCTGTGACCCTTACTAGGCTCTGACCATGTGCTAGGCTTGATTCTCAATATCCTAGATGTAAATGGCACATTTAATCCTCACGACCACCTCTGAGATAGATACTACTCTAAACCCGCTCCACAGATGAAAAACCCTACACCCAGAGTGACAGCAATTTACCCAAGATAGAGCTGGATCTCAAACCTAAACTATTTGATTTTAGAGCTCCTAAAGGTTCCCAAAACAGAAAGGGAAAGGAGGGCCCATTTCCTGGACTCTCCTCTGCACATATACATACAGCACACAACAAAAATCACCTTGGTAGAGGTGAGGTATCACTAGGATATCCTCCCAAAGACGACATAGCTTCCCATCCCTCAAGTTGACCAAGGTTTAAGGAAGTTTTGCACTTCCTGCAACTCCTTAGGGTTTTACAGAAACATGGGCAAGAGAGGTTTTGCCATCCCCACATCCCCCTACCCTCCAGTCCCAAGAGATACACGCCACCCATGCTTCACAGGCTCAGCTTAACCACTCCTGGATTGCCTTCCCCAACCACCTCCAATGACAGCAGTCCCCCCACTTTCCTCAAGGTCCTACAGTTTCTATTCTTTGCACCACATCCCAGCACTCGGCATTGACTTTCTATCTCATAGGTATCTGTCCCCTCGCTTCATCGCCAGGACTCCTTTCACTTTACAAGACAGAAAGAGGCAAGCAAAGTTCCACACCCTTGAACACAGTGGGCACGCAAACACATTGTCCAGTGAGGAAGCAGGTCTCACACAGACACTTACACAGCGAGAAGGACCTAGCTGGACAAACAGACACCTCTGGGGGTGTCACTACCAGTGGTAAGAGTCCCTAACTCAGGGGTTCTCAGAGTGGGGTGTCTGGACCAGCAGTAGCACTTGGGAAATTGTGTGGGGGAGGGGCAGACAGGGGCAAGAGCAACCCTGGCCAGATCTTCGAATTTTTCAAGAGAAGCAGGACAGTACCATCCTCAGACTCATGCAACTGGGCTCCTGCCTGGATCTGAGGCTAAGAGGGCCCCTCTTGGGCCTCCAATGACTGCACGGGGCCATGCCCACTCAGATCCCTCCCCCCCCCCATTCTAAATCCATCCGGGTATCCGCACCTTGGAGTTCCCTGCCCAAATGGTCCTAAGGGGGACCTAGGTCTACACCCCCTCTCCAGTAGGACTGCCAAATAAAGCAGAGGCTGTCCAGTTAAATTTGAATCGTTTTTTAGCATAAGTATATCCCAAATACTGCATTATTCATGGTTTATCTGAAATTTAACTCAGCATCCTGTATTTTGATTTGCGAAATCTGCCAACCCTACCTCCCTGGTGTGTCTTCTTAAGACCCACTGTTGGCCGAAGAGTGAGTATTGCAGAGAAGGGACAAGTCTGTGGACACAGGGAGTGAACCATCCACATAAAGGCTTCAAATCCTCTCGCAGGGGTGCAGGGTGGAGCTGAGGATGAGATGAAAAGAGCAGTGCGCTGCAGGCCAGACACTTCTCCTGGAATTGTTAGGGGCAAACCTGAATTGGGAGATGGACTCTGAAGGCATAACCTCCCAATTTTTAAATATTTGACATGTATTTAAAAGAATTCCACCTTCCTTGAAAATACCACTCAGAGCAAACAAAGCACGTGGGCCCTTACCTCTGGTCCAAGGTAATTCCTACCTTTGCTAATGGCTGCATTGTTGCGGCACCCACGCCTGCACTTCAACAATAGATATGATGTCTTAACTGCAGTGGGAGGTGCGCTCATGAGCACATAGCAGCATAAGCGTGTGACAGAGACATACATTTTGGAGAAGAATATTTATTGGTCAGTCTGCCTGAGGGGCTGTCCATTCTGACCCAGCACTGACCAGTCCTGCTATTAGCCACTTCAGGAAGGTAGAGGGAAACCAACGCATGTGGTAGAATGAGCTGAGCTCACAGAATAAGAAGCATAAGAGATGCTACTCAGTTTTACTCTAAATTCCTCATTCTGCAGGAGATGAAACAGAGCTGTGCCTAGAAACAGGAAACGAGTTTGCCCAAACCCAGCTACTGATTCCAGGCCCCCAGTTCTTTCTGCAACATCATGGGCCTTCTCGTATTCAGGAATCCCTTACAAGGGGCGAGGAACATTGTCCCTTTCTCACAATTTGGGAGCCACAGAAAACGTGCCAGAAAATTGTGCTTCAAAGAAGGGGGTGGAGGAAAGAAAGAAAAGGAAAGAAAAAGTCTCCTTGCCCCACCTTCCCTACTTCTGAAAAGTAAGAAGAAACAACCCACTCCAAGAATATACAGACATACTCAAAACCAAGAGGGAAGAGAGCGCCTACCAATTGCTAGGTCTGCAGGCACTGCTCGTTGCTTGAGGTTAGATGCTGACTATAGAACAGAGTGGCCTTCCAAGGATGTCCGAGGTCCTGAGCCAGCTCAGGCAGCGCCCAATCCCCTGGTTTTCCCCCATTCACTGGCAGCTCCCAGGGGGCAAAGGCCAAGGAATGAGACAGGCTGCCCAGACCGGCAGGAGGATGTTCCCCAGTAAGACTGACCTGAACTGGATAGAATATTGCCTGCAGGGTGGGGAGCGTCTCAGTGAAGAAGTGGTCCCAGACTTCAGCCAGAACCTCCATGCGATTTTCACCTACATGAGGGCGAGAAGACGGGAGGGGAGGAAGAAAGAAAAGACCTTGGTCATTACTTGCAGGAGAGGCCAGGAGACAGTTCCACGTCAGACGGAGCATGGCATGGTCGTGAGAGGAAGCTCATTACCTACTTTTGATCCACAAGTGTTACTACAGTAAACATGGGATTGGATGGGAAAACTCGACCGAAAATATGCCTTCTCTCCCTTAATCCAGAAAAGGGAGCTGAATTTTGAAAAGCACGCCCTAACTGCTATCGTCACGAGAACGGTTACAACATTATCAGGCCCTGTGCCAGATTGTTTATCTATACGCTATCTCACGAGTAGACGCTATTGCCCCACTTTACAGCTCAGACAGGCCAGGTATCTGGGCTCAAAGTCACACAGGTAGAAGGCCAAGCTGGGATTCCAGAACCCGTGCTCTTGCCCGTATAATCCAGAAAGATCATGTGCACAGTTATAAATTATTTTGTTTTTCATAATCACTAAGACACTGGCTTTTCAGTCTAGATTTGAGCTGTCACTTGAGAGAGATGGAAAGAGGGCTTAGAAACTATCACCTCCACCCACTGTAACCGGCAGGGCATTACTCTCTGAACAGTCACCTGCAAAACGCGGGACCCACCTCCTGACGCTATGCCTACCTCATCCCCCGGATCAGGAAGCCCAAGCCCTGGCCAAGCGCCACCCCCAGGCTAGATGGACATAGGTCACCCAATGCCACCGGAAGGCTGTTCGAGGGACTTTGCACCTGCAGGAAAGGCAGGCACTGGCAGAGCAGAGCCTGCACGGTGCCTGCTGTTTAATGACCTAGATAACAGAGCTGACTGGGCACTATCTCTGCTCAGCTGAGGCAGGGAAACTGGGTCAGCCAAGATTAGACCCTGAGAGATGCGTCTGGCAATGCACGGCGAGTTCCACTGAGCCGATCTTGAAAGAGTCATTTAGTGTTGTCCATCTATTAATTTAACGGACAACAAAAGCAGTGGCTGGCAGAGAAAACGGAACGAGGGCGTGACTAGTAGCTAGCAGGGCCAAAGCTGTGCAGATTTTGAAAGGTCAGAGTGAAATACACTGGAGAGAAATGCAAATCCACAGCACCCTCTCCTTTCCCTCACCATGTGCTAATTACACGTTGTTGGAATCGCTCATTTACTTCTCTCTGTCTCCTCCACTAGAATGGGAGTGAAGGCCCCAGCCCTGTCTGTGCTGCTCACCATTCTATTTCTAGCACTTAGCCAGACACATCAGTAAATCAATGTTTGGAAATCTTTAAATGAATGAATGGCAAGTACCGAGTGCATAGGTTTTTGCAGATACTAGGGCTGGTGAGTGGAAGGAGGTTACCTTTTAACCCAAATATGGGACAGGACAGAGCAGGACTTAATAGCTATAGCTCCAACACTTTCCTTTGCTCTTAGATAAAGAAACCACAGCATAGGCAATCTGGCTGGGGAGAGTCTGCTTCCTTCTTCTGTGTCTCCATCCTCTTCTGTATTCCCCTTGTATGCGACTTTTATTTCAGCCCCTCGTGCTCACCATGCCCCCTCCATGCCACAGGGCCTTTGCACGTTCTACTTCCTTTGGCTAGACTGTTCTCGCTCTCCTCTCTTTGCCTAACGTACATCCGTTTATCTTAATATTTTCAACTCCAGCATTACTTCCACAAGAAAGTCTCCCCCACTGGCCAAATCCCCCTATTATGGATTGTATTCTTTTTTTTTTTTTTTTTTTTTAATTTATTTATTTATGGCTGTGTTGGGTCTTCATTTCTGTGCGAGGGCTTTCTCCTGTTGTGGCAAGCGGGGGCCACTCTTCATCGCGGTGCGCGGGCATCTCATTATCGCGGCCTCTCTTGTTGCGGAGCACAGGCTCCAGACACGCAGGCTCAGTAGTTGTGGCTCACGGGCCTAATTGCTCCGCGGCATGTGGGATCTTCCCAGACCGGGCTCGAACCCGTGTCCCCTGCTCTGGCAGGCAGACTCTCAACCACTGCGCCACCAGGGAAGCCCTGGATTGTATTCTTAGTACTTGTCCCAGTTGGGGTTTTATATCTGATGGTGATTTGATTAATACCTGTCTCCACTACCAGGTAGTGAGGGCCTCGAGGACCTGAAATCCTATGAAGTTTTGTTCACCACTGTGTCCCTAGCACCTAGCAAAGTACCTGGTAAACAGTAGATAATCAAGGACTTCCCTGGTGGCACAGTGGTTAAGAATCCGCCTGCCAATGCAGTGTATATGGGTTCGAGCCCTGGTCCAGGAAGATCTCACATGCCATGGAGCAACTTAACCCATGCGCCACAACTACTGAGCCTGTACTCTCGAGCCAGCGAGCCACAACTACTGAGCCCGTGTGCCACAACTACTGAAGCCTGTGCGCCTAGACCCCATGCTCTGCAACAAGAGAAGCCACTGCAATGAGAAGCCCACGCACCACAACAAAGAGTAGCCCCCGCTCGCCGCAACTAGAGAAAGCCCGCGCACAGCGACGAAGACCCAACGCAGCCAAAAAAAAAAAAAAAAAAAAGTAGATAATCAATAAATGTTTGAATGAATGTATCAATCACCATTCTCTTTTCAAAGGTAGGCTAGTTCACTGCAGGGAAGAGGTCAGGAAGTCAAGAGGATGGTCTGAAATGTTAGGGCATCCTGGTGCCTAAAACCAAGGTGAATTCCAACACCTGGAGAGTGTATCTCAAAGGAGAAAAGGCTATGCCAGCTCCTTTATTGATGGCCCTTATTCTAAGTCTTCCATCAGAAAGACAAGCAGAGGCCCTCCCGACTGGAAGGAAGTGACAGAGAAGCCTGCTGTTCAGTGCTGGTGCCTACTTACTCCCCTTCACCTCCAAGATGGAATACTCATCAGCAATGAAGTCATCCTTCAACCTGGCAGCAGGAAGGCGCCTCTCCTGGGAACCTGCTGCAAATCTCAGAGAGGAGTGAAGGTTTTGGAAAGTGTTCAGAGAAGAACATCAGAGAGACACAGGCTAACAAAACAGGGTAGCCCTGGAAAGAAAGACTTAAAGGAAGGAGGTGACCCCATCTCCAAGAACAGCCCACAAGTCAAGGCCTTAGCCCCCTGCAAAGATGAAAGGGGTTTGGATGGGAGGTTCTAGATGACTGTCCTATAAAAACTGTCCTCTAGTTGCCATAGAAGTTTAGATCACCAGAGGTACAGAAGAGGTATGAGAAACTTCTTTAAAGCCAAGGTCACTAAAGCTCTAGAAAAGATTATGGAAAGTAACAAGGCATATTCTGTCCACGAAAGAGTACCACATCATGAGGGGCTACCTCTGTCCCTTCCGCAGCCGTCAGGTAGAGTGGATGTGTACAAGCCAGGTCAATAAAGTAAAGGTTGTTCAGTGATAAGATGGATCAAAACTCTATTTTATAGCAAAAGAATCCTTTTATCCAAATAAAATCTTTCTTGGAGTTGTAACACACAAAATGAAAAAGTAGAGATGTTCTGGTTAAAGATGTGAAAGACCCTTACAGGTTCCCACCTGCCCCTTCACTGTGCAGAAAGAACCTTGCCACCCAGACCCCAGGACAAGAAGGGACCCAGCAAGAATATCCCGGCCCACTGCTCTCTAGTCGTGCTTTGGGGCAGAAACACAGAAACTTGGATGCCCTTTGTTTATCCCGTCTAGCTCTGTGCCTGAGTTTTCACTCTGAATGTAGCTATGTTAAGTGTCACTTGGAGGACACACAGTCAACTTTCCCTTTTAAGGGTCCTTGACACTCTGGTTTTGCTCAGCATCTCTTTCATAATGCTGGCCTTCCGCATTTCCAGGAGCACGGAATAACTCCAAACGACTTACTACCGGGCAGGCAGCCACCTTTCACACTGGTGTACTAGCCTAACTCCAACACGCAAAAGGGCCACGAAGCTCTTGTCAAAGCCGGTCACTCAAAAATAAGGCCTCGGGTTACTGGGTATCTCTAAGGTTGAAAAAATCTCAGCGTAGTTGCATTGGAGGGAAACAAGGCTGCAGGCTCAGTCAGTTCTTGAATAGACAGAGGTTAATTTCAAACCTCTCATTTTCCAAAGGTTTGGTGAGCACTCACTGTGTGCTGGGCACTGGGACCTTGCAGTGTCCATTTCTCATGTTTCTTCCTACTTTGTCTTTCTAGGAGACACTTCACTGGACACAAGTGTCTCTCCCAGGGAAGGGGAAGAAAAAAGGAATGAACTACTGCCTGATAAGTCTGAATCTAGAAGTAAACTTGACCTACAGATGGAGGTCTCTAGGCTGGAATAGGAAAAAAAAAAAAAAAAAAAAGAAGGAACCAGTTTGCTTACCTACTATGTGCCAGGTATGGAGCTATGCCAGTTATACTTCTTATACTCCCTACGATCCCTAGTCCCATTTTATCATTTTAAAAATTATTTTAAAAAACCAAGGCTCAAAGAAACGAGAAACTTGCCAAAAGTTACCCAAGAAGTAGGTGGTGAGCTGCGTCAGGATCCACATCGGTGGGAGCTGAGATTAGCCGTTGGTGGAGCCATGGGGTCGGTCGACTCTTGCCTTTGACTGCCTCCCAGATCCATTCAGTGCCTTTCTACCCTGTCAGCTTGACTCTAACAATTTTTTTTTTTTTTTTTTTTTTGCGGTACGCGGGCCTCTCACTGCTGTGACCTCTCCCGTTGCAGAGCACAGGCTCCGGACGCGCAGGCTCAGTAGCCATGGCTCACGGGCCCAGCCGCTCCGCGGCATGTGGGATCCTCTCGGACCGGGGCACGAACCCGCGTCCCCTGCATCGGCAGGCGGACTCTCAACCACTGCGCCACCAGGGAAGCCCTTTTCTTTGTTTAGTAAATCACCCCCCATTGAGTAGGTGCCTGCTTAGCCTCCTGTCCCTCAAGTGGGTTGGCCTCCTGACATGCACCACCTCAAGAAACAGTATTATACAAAGGCCAATAGGAAATAGCCTGGATCAAACCAGAGGGAACAGCGTGGCAGGATCTGCAGTATAAGTTGTCCCTTCAAAGGAGACCACCAGCATGCATCCCATGAAAACCCCCCTTAACGGGGGTCTCCAAAGAGGCCACCCTAATTCCCCCTCAGTTCCCAAAACACAGTCTGACTTGCATTGCTGGGAGTAGCGAACTCGGGCGGAAATGCTGCCCCCTAGCTGGAGAAGGGACGGCCGGGGTGAGGCACTCGCCTCTCTTGGACAGAAGCGTTCCAGCTATCCGAGCATCAAAGGCTGAGTCAGGGGCCCGCTGGACGGGGGCCGCCTTGTACTTGCCTTCACACAGCTTAATCTTCTCCTCCACAAACAGCAGTCCTTTTGCTAGAAGCTGGTTCTGCCGAAAGAGAACAAAGGACACAAGAGTTGGGCTACTTCACCGCGTGACAAACCCAGATCCACTCCCAGTGGGCGAGGGCACAGGGTTCCAGGCACTCGGGCGCTGCTCAAGCCTCCAGGCTGAAAAAGCCTTCTATCCTCTAGGAAGGCCGAGGCTTCCGGAGGCATCAGTGAGACAGCCCAAAGCAAAGGAAGGAGACGAGAGCCAAACCCAAGTGCCATCCCCGTCCCTCCGACCAGGGAATGGGCTGCCCCAAGCTTGGCTGAATTCTCTGGAAGGACTAGGGCAGACACCCAATGTCCTTCAAGCCCTTCGAGTAAAACTCAGAAAAGGGAGCACGGAGGCAATGGGAAATCATGCAGAAATAATGGATTTGTTTTATAAAAATGATTTTTTATAAAAATGCTAAATCTCTCACGCTAGCATGAAAGAGACTGCCCACAAGATTTTAAGCAGCAGTGAGTGTGGGTCCGTCAATGAGTGTGTGCGTGGGAAAGTTGTGGAAAGAGGAAGTCCCTTTGCAATTACAACTAACAATTGCTGAGTGTTTTGCATGTATCAGAGCGTTTATATTCTTCAGCTCATCTAATTCTGACCCTCCCAACAGTCCGGTCAAGTTGGTGCCATTACCCTGACTTCACTGATGGTCGGGGGAGAGGCTGGAGCACAGGACGCGGAGCTGGTCTTCCTATCTGCACAAGCCATGTTCTGCCCACTCTGCTTTGCTGCCTTCCAGCAAGTCTTCCCACCCAGACCCCTCCTTCCCTCAGAAGGCTACAGATGGTCCCACATGACGCGGGCAGCCCCTCCAAAGGTCACAGAAGCTCAGAGAGTAAGAATGCCTCCCCACTCACCACACATCTTTAGATTAGCAAAGGCCTATGCTTATAGGGTAGGGGGTACACAGTGGTATATATCCTACCCCAAACCTAATGCGTTTCTTAGTACTCTCCTTTATAAAACCCTAAACCCTGTTACGGTGATGATGAGAGCATACATGGCAGAGAAGAAAGAACCTGGACATCAGACAGGGGTTCAAGTCCCAGCTCAGCGACTTTCTAGCTGTGTGACCTTGGACTTCATTTCCCTGAGTCTTGAGTCCCTCATCTACAACACGGCGTCACAACAGCAATTATCATAAAGTTCTTATAATAATTAACCATTATAAATACACACACACACACACAAAAACACACACGGTGTTTTATGTTCCCAGTAATCAGTGGAATTGGGTAGTGATGACAAGAGTTGCTCTTTTAGCCCAGCTATCTTCACAAAAGGAGTGGGAGGTAAAGAGAGTCAGTAATGAATGGACTTACATCAAATATATTAAAGTATTTGATCAAAGGTACTATCACATTCCTGTGACTAATACATATACACCAGAGTTTATAGATCCTATGAAAATTCACAAGCTATAACCTAATTTAAAAAGTAATTGGCCACCCTTCAGTTTCAAGATGGAACCCCAACTCAAAGTTAGAGTGACATCCTATAGGAGTCTACCAACTCTGTTAAAGGGGAAAAAAAAAAAAATCAATTCCTTTACTAGGAATCATGGAACAGACAGGTACTTAAGGTGAAACTCTGTGTTCTCTACCTTCTAGCCAAGCACACGAATCCCAGCAGCAAGAAAACACCACAGCACCAAACTGAAACGATCCAAATCAGGACTTTGTGCCACCGAGCTGGGCAGGAATGGACGGTGGAGGTGTTTCCAGATGGCGGTCACTCCCCCTGAACGGTTCTGAGCAAAGATCCCAATTGAGGTCTGAAGTGTCTGCCCGGGTCCCTTTCACTGGCCCAGACGAGGGCCTCAGGGAGTCCCCTTGGCACTCCGTGCAAGGACTCCTCATGCATTGTTCGCTGTCACCGCCTCTACTGCCAACACTGACACCTCAGCCTTCTTCCAGAACACCTACAAACCCTCCTTAATTTCATGTTTCTGAGATGCACCTACAAATGTAAGAGAGACTCCTCCCTACGACGCAGGCTTCATAATTTTGTTCCATCACTGTAATTATCTACATTTTAAAGGTATGGGGGGCTAACCAAGGCACTGAGAGAAATAAAAGCCTAGTCCAGGTTATATCATTAGTTAATAATGGAAATTAATTCAAACCCTATATCCTATGTGTTAGGATTTTAGGTCCTTAGGAGTGAGGACCACTTAATTTAGTCCCCCTGGCTCTGAGAACAGTGCCTAGATCATAGCAGAAGCTAATAAATATTGAGTATATATTGCCTGTTTTGATGCTACAGACCATTCTTTGGTTTTAAGAAATCAAGATAAGAGAATATGTGTAAGAGGAGAGACAGTGATGCAGGTCCTTAAAATTCTAACACCCCTATGCATTTGTACACCTTGCTCTTATTTTAAAAATGGTATTTATTTTCATTTGATAAAAACTACTTTGCATCTTACGACATAAACTTTAAAAGTGGCCTAGGTTCTCCTTCCTCCTCTTTTCTATGTCTTCCCCCTTCAAGGAGACATTTGGGGCAAAAAAAATTTTTTTTTCAAGGAGAAGAAGTTATTTGTGTACTATGGAGAAATGGAAAACATTCATTTTAAAATTTCTCATGATACACGGCATAGAAATTCTGTAGCTTAGACCAAAATAACAGTAACAAAAACTTAAAAGGGGCCTTAAAAATCATCTAGTCATTCTCCCCTCTCCCCAGCCCTGTGGTCCAAATCAACAGGTCACATACAGTTTCCATAATTTTTAGGTGGACATATTTTGCAGGAAGCTAAAGCACCTTTCAAAAGCATCTTGAAAATGTTTATTCCCCTACGCTTTGTAGATTTTGCTCTCATTTTACAGTTGAATAAACTGCAGCTAGAAGCACGGTCTCCATCTTTTATTTGGCATGTGCTAAGTGAGTTAGGATCTTCTGGGCCAGCCTGGCTCAAAGCCCCGCTTCCCTATCTCGCATGCTCGAACCATTTGAATCTAGCCTGCATCTTCAGCTTAGCTGATTGGCTTGGTGCCTGCCCTCCACCCCACCTGGGTCTCAAACTGAGCCAATCATTTTCTCCCCTGGGAATCTGTAGTCACACGGGCCCCCTATGCCCCAAAGGGCCCTGTAATCCTGAGGGCCCGGTGCTCTGAAGGGCCTCATGCTTGGGGGTTAATGCTCTGCAAGTGCATCTTCACTTCTTAATAGTCTTAGCTTTGAATCTGTGTTTTGTAAGTGAAGCCTGCTGGGGAAACGGAACACGGCGCAGGGGCTCAGCCCCAGCTCACTCACGGTCCTGCCTTCTACAGTCACCCCAGGAGGGATTATCAGGCCCCTGCTCCGCACCCCCATTGCTGCTCTCCACCCTGCTGGTCTCCCCTGCCCTGCCCCACCACTGCCATCCTTCTATTCCCAAGGTGGTGACAGGGCTGCGTCGGCAGGGGCCCAGGCCCTGGTGCTCTGTGGCATCTTGGGGAGAGGCCTGGTGGCAGCCCCCCCTCCCTGCCCTGGGCTGGCAGAGCTCTGGCTTGAGCGCTGATGACTCAGCTGGGGGCCTCTTGACCACCCCTGAGCTATGTACCGAGAGCATGTACCGAGAACAAGGTTACAATCTCTTGGGGGCCCCCTGTCCACGACGCGTTGTGGCCACAGGTCCATGGGAAGGGGAGTACCTTCCTCACCCTGGTGGGAGCCACATTTGCATCCTGCACTGGGCCCTGCAAATTACGAAGCCCACCCTCTCTGCTGGTCACTTCACCTAAGGACACACCAACTGGACATCTGTGGGGCTTAAGGCTGCTGAGACCTAAAAAAAAGAAAGAAAAAAGAAAAGAAAACCAGCCTGGATTTAGACAGCTATCTTGCATTGTTTGTCTTTCGAAGTGTCTGGCCTCACCTGCCAGTATTCCCAGCCCCAGACAAACGCCTGACTGTAGAAGGTGCTGAGAAAATGTATGGGAACAGAGCTGGAGAGGATCCTGACTTTTCTCTTGTCCCACTCCCTGCCTGATGGTACCAACCGCATCACCTCCCCAGCCCAAAGGCTTCAAGCCAAAGAACATTACACGTTAACGTAACTAGCTAACATTACTAGTTACATTCAATAGCAGCCACCTAGGAAATGGGCCCGTTGTCACTTCATGCAGCCCCCATAAATGAACTTGGACGGGGAATACACAGCACTCTAAGGAAGTGGCAGAGGATCCGGAAGTCAAAATAAGCTGACCTATCTGTTTTTATTAAGACATCGAAAACGGGCTGCCAACAGAAGAACAAGGCTCAAAGGAAAAATGCAAAAAACAAGGATGTCTGTGGAAAGGCATCCAAAACCATGGAGCCTTCAGTGGGTTGGAAGGACCAAGCTCATCCTGGGTAATCACGGAGGGTGGGCAGGACGAGGCAAGGAAGGCAGAGGAGAGGGTGGGCTGCTGTAGTGCAGGGCTTTCAATGTCAACCACATGCATCTTCAGTCAAGCAGGCTCCTCCTCAACCCGGCCAGAAGGACTCAGGAAAAGGGGGAACCAACAAGCGAGGGGGTGAGGAGAATGATGCTATTCCCACACAAGGTAGGAATTCTGTAAATGCTTAAGGCTGCCAGCCACCTGTCAATTCTAATGCTTTAGCAGTGATGATAATAATGAGAACACAAAGAATGACGGTGGAGTTTTTTTTATTGGTTTTTTACTCTCTGTCAGGCACTGTATTATACCCTTCTCATGCATTATCTCACTCTACCTTTGCCACAAACTTATCCCCTTTATATAGATGAAGAAACCGAGGTTCAGAGAAGCAACTAGCAAATGTGAGACCAGAATTTGCACCCAGGTTGGCTGGAATCCAAAGCCCCAATCTTTCCCCCAGGATATTACTCTGGTTTACTTCAACAATGATTAAAAAAATATTAAGGTGAACAGCTATCATTCATTCACTGCTCACTTTTTGTACAAAGCACTGATATACGTCATCTCATCTAGTCACTGCATCAACCTTTTGAGGTAGGTACTACGATTACAACTAGATTACCACTAAGAAGC